GCAGAGTTTAAAATAGTTGGTTTTTATTAAAAAAAAAGTTGTATTTTTTCAAACTACATTAACCAAAATTGTTAGTTAACGTATTTCCTCAGGTAGCATTTAATTGGAAGATTTTATTTTCTGCAATGATTAACATTCCTAATTACAAACCTTTGTGCTAAGTGCCTCTATTCCCTCTCATCTTCTTTTCCTTCTCGCGTGTCTCTTTGCCCTCATAAGCTTGATATCAAATTAATTCAGCCTTTGTGCAGTGTTTATTGATACTGGCAGAGAACCATCAATGATTAGGCAACATTTGCAACTAAAATGTTGGCTGGAGATTCTCAGTGGAGTGTTAGGGTTACTTGTTATAGTTTAAGGGTGAAGAACATTGTTGGGAGGTCAGTAATAAACAAAGTTGTTTTCCAGCCCAGGAGTACTCATTGCAGACACTAGGGGGTGAAACCCATTATAAGCACAAACTGCCACGGTCAGTAGCTTTCGTGGCCATGGGAAACATGTCCAAGTTGGCAATAATGGAAACATGTTCAGTTCACAGGCTCACAAGAGGGAAAACACAGTGTAAAACCAGCACAGTGCAGAGGAACCAGAGGAATTTCAGAATGTTAGATTGTGTGGAATTGCTGGGGAAATGTCCTTTGAAATCCAGTTTACGGTTTAATCTCCTGCTACTAAATTGCCTTTGTAGTGTACATAAATGTCCTCAGGTTTAAATGTTGGTTTCACATATTACATTCTTTTGCATTAACATTAGGATCAAACATTTTCTGAGTTGTGAGTGGAATACCTAAAGCAAATGTTCTAAAGAAATATCTTAAAACTGGTGTAGTTCTCCTTGTCTCTCACTTCCAACTATATATACAATACGATTTACATTTATATAACGCCTTTCACCTTGGGAGGACAACTCAAAGCAATTCACATTGCTAGCTGGCACCCGAGCTGGGGAGGGGAGTTAAACAGGTTGGCGAGCACTGGCAAAGGGAAGACTTGAGGTGGGCTTTCATTCCTTTATTCTCCCACCTCCCCCCCACCTAAGATTTGTGGATAGTGCCTGCACAGTCTTATTCTTATTCCTGAAGTGCATGAACAGTATTACGTTGGTGGTGGGGGGGCTGGAAGACATTGCCATTTCATACCATCTTTGGCCTTTCCTAGCAGCTTCCTAAGTTTGTCTTTTTTCTTCCACACTTACATTTAAACATCTCATAACATTATCAAAGCTGAATGGTTTTCAAATGCAGAGATGATTTGAAGAGCCAAAGGGGAGGGCATTCCCAATATTGTTGTCTGTGTGTGTGTGGGTGGGCGTGTTTTTTTTTCTATTTGCTTATGTTTCACTGTGGTCTGAGGAACTTTGCCAGCTGTCAGTTTAGATTTTGAACTGTCAGCTCTCTAGGGCATCAAGTTATTAAAGAAGAAGCTTGATGTAATCCATGTCAGGATGTTTCCTTTGGTCTAACTTCATGTCGTCAGATAGTGAAGCAGAGTAAAGCCTTCATCTGGAGGATGCCCTGGCTTCCTTTATTTCCCTTTGCCCCAAGAGCATCTTTATTAATCTGTGTCTAGTAAAGACAAGAGGTGACGTGTACAGAAGAAAAGGCCACTGGCTCTTTGAGTTATTTTAAACTATCTGTCCTTTCTCCGCACTCCAGAGGTTGAGACTCCACGTGCAGCTGAAATGACTCCTATTATTGCCTCCCATGCCTCCTGCATTATATTAAACCCTTTTGACAAAATAATTGGTGGTTGCAATTGTAGTTGACTGATATCGTAACAATGTTTTAGGGGGAAAAGGAAAAAAATCCAGACTGTTACACTTCTTGTCTATGGTTCAATCATAAATTGTGAGATTCTTCAGTTTTCAGTAATATTGGTTGATGTTTGATAGCATTTTAAATTCCTGGTTTCTTTCTAATCCAAATGGCATCTGCAGCAATAAACATGTTAAACAAAGGCAAATGACATGAAATGAAACAAAGGGCTCTCTGGTTTAATAAAATAGTAGTGTTGCATCAAAGAAGCTGGCTCTTTGGTTCATCATGTCTGTGATGATGTTTTTCTCCACATAAGCCACTAATCTTGTTCGTTCCATTTATATTTTAATATTCCTCTTTTTCCAACATCTGCAACCATAGTTTGTATTATATCCAAATTTTTATCTTGTATCCAAAGTGTAGACCTAAGCCAGGCTGTACTTGTGTATTGCTTTAAAAAAAGGTATCTGTGTAGTTCTGTCTATTCCAATTAATGGTTAGTTCAATAGGAGTCAAAGCTCATTGTATTAGGTGTCCATTAACATTATTGATGAGTAGAGAGATAAATATAGGGGCTGTGACAACTGATTTATTTTAGTAATTGAATATTCTATTGACTATTGAACAGCTAAAGCTGGGTGGGGATGAGGGGGAGAATTCACTGTGGTGTCAATGTGTTGTTGCAACAGCCAGAGAAAATTGTTGATCAGTATGCAAAGTACCCGTTTTGTGATCAAGTTTCAGCTGCAAGCTTTGCATTGTCCGATCAATATATAAAATAAAGCACCACTAAAAATATACTTCCATGGTTTGTGCTGTCAGTGGTTGCTGAGGAAAGGGATCTGATCTCATCCGTTAGGTGTATTTTCGTGTGGTCAGCTGCACGTCTGACACATGCGGAAACCGATCATTGTGCTCGAGTATCCAAACCAAAGTGAAAGTTCCATGCATCCCACCTATATATGGAAAGTCTTGTGTATTGGAATGAATGCCACTCTCTCCCCAGAAGGACGCACCCTGCTGACCTAATTCTGGGAAATAGCCAAGGCTTGGCAACCCCAGAGTGCACAATGGAGTATTGCTGGAGTTCAACCAGTTAACATGGCATAGCTTGCCATTGAAAGCACTGTCTGGCAAGCTCTCCCGCTGCATCTCCAGCTAGGACAAGCCTACCTGTTAGGGTGTGTTTTACAGAGGTGGAGTCCTGTAGCTCCGTGGTTAGAGCACTCGCTTTGCAAGCGGAGACCTGAGTTCAATTCCAGGCAGAGGGCGAAACCTTGGGCAAGTTTCCTTACTCCACACGCCTAATAATAATCCCTCCAAAACCCAAAACAATAATAAATTAGTCATTTTCAATCTACGACTGTTTGTGGGACACTGCTGTGCGCAATTGGCTGCTGTGTTCGCCCACAAATATACAGTCAATTCACTTTACAGTATATTCTGTGAAGCGCTTTGGGACGTCCTCCCGATGTGAAAAGCACTATATCAAATGCAAGGATTATTGTTATAACAGGTGTTGAGTGGGAAGAACCCCTACATCCAGTGACTGGTCTGCCCAAATTCTACTGATTAACCAGGTTGGCTGTACTGTCAACAGCAGTCTCGCCTGGTTCAGAACTGGAATACCAAGACCGCCACAGAGGGCTAGCTCAATTCCGACATTCTGTTTCCAAACATGTCACCTTGGAGTAAGTTCAGCTCCAGGGTAACCCCCCCCCCCCCTTCAATAATAAGGTGTCTTGTTCGGCCATTCTGAACTCAATCATAAAGTAGTTTCCTGTAGTTTCAGATTTAAAAAGAGTTTCTAAGCCAAAAAATCAGCAAATGCTAAATGTTTCAGATTTTGTTTGAAGCTCTGCTCCCCCTGCTCCCTTCCCATGGACTAGGCTCCACCATTAGTCCATATGGGCAAAAAGTTGCAGCTTCAAATCCAATGTTAGATTGGTCTCAGATGCCTTTAGAATAGGAAGAATTTCCTTAGGTTAGAGGGGAATGCCCTGGTTTTGGGAAGAAATTCCCAAGGTCGATGGTGGTGGGGGAAGGGAGACGGGACAAATTTCAGTTATTGTTCCTGTAAAATAACTTCAGGAGAGGAATAGTGAAATTGTCTTACAAAAACAATCAAGATGCTAGTTATTCTTCCTACAATGACATTTCGCAAAATTAAGCTGTGGTTCAAAAATGTGAGAAATTTGAAGTGATTCTAGAGTAAAACGTATAAACTTACTGCGGTCTTTGCACATACATTGACTTTAAGCTGACTCACTTTGAATACAGATTCCACTTCACATATAGTGATATTACATACTATCCACCCTCTCCCTCCGCTCAGCCACTCTGCCCCCAATCTCTGGAATTCCAGCCCCCAATCCTCCGCCTCGTCCCCTCCTTAGCCTCGTTCAAGTCCCGCCTCAAGACCCTCCTCTTCGACCATGCCATCGGCCACCCCCCTTCCCCTCCCCTCCCTTCTCCCCCCCGACCCCAGCTCGGGTCCGAAATGGTGTACTCTGTCCAGCGCCTTGGGACGTCCTCCCGATGTGAATGGCGCTATACAAATGTAATCTTGTTGTTGTTGTTTTTCTTAATCTAGTTTGGATACTGGAGTATTCGTTTTAGTAGATTACATGTTGAGCACCATTTTCCAGGTTAAAGGTGTACTTTCATGTTCCCAAGGAGAGAAATGCTACTTGTGAATTTTTGCACATCAGTCATTGATTGCATTGTTCTGTTATACTTTTGTCACACAAGTGAAAAATAGTCTACCAAATACTTTTATTCATGATTCACCTGCCCTATACTATATGTAAATACTCTCTTAGCACTGTGCAGTTGTCAGTGGATTGAGGAGTTTATGAATCTACTTTCCTGTATCCTCGTTAATGTCTTGGCATGACACTTGTACTTAGTGTCTTGGAGTGACACTTGCACTTAATGTCTTGGAGTGACAACTCACACACAAAGCCAGTGTGTTTCAGTTGCAAAGTCAAACTCTTAACTCACTCAAGCATGGCAAATTTGAGTGATGGGTGCCCTGGGATCCGTTTTCCCCCCCATCAGTTTAGCTTCAAGTCAAGTGATCATTTGAGCTACTAGGAGTAACCGGATTTGTGTTTGTGCTGCATTACCCAATACAAGTTTTACAACCCCGCTGCCCTGAAAAGCCATTTGCTACTCTGCTTGTAAAGCCAGTGAAAGATTTTAAAAGTGTAACGATTTGAATTTTTTTTTCTCTGGTTGAAGATCACGACTCTGATCAACCATAAAGAGAAACCAAAGAAGTCTCAGAAGACGTTGCGGGCAATCCAGCGGGTAGGACAAGCAGTGAGCCTGGCTGTCGGAAGGTTTGTCACAGTTGGTGAAGCCATAGCCAGCGAGAACGAAGAGTTAAAGGAGGAAATGTACTACGCATGCCAGGAGGCCAGGCGAGCAGGTAGATTTATTCTTTGCTGAATTTTAACATAATAACCATCACTTCTGTGTTCCACATTCAGTATAACCCCCAGTCATCCTGATGTGAAATGCACTATACAAATGTGAATTTATATTGTTGGATTGGTACTGAAACTTACATCCTTTTTTATTTGATGAATATGTGCTCATGAAAATAAAATAAATAATCCTGAAATGTGATACAGTGCCTTTCACGTTGAGAGGACATCTCATTCTGTGCTTCACAGAAAATACAGCAACAACAACTTGGGTTTATATAGCGCCGATCGTGTGGGGTAGAGTCCTGGAGCACTTGACAGTGGAGGAGTCTGACTCCAACCAATTGTATTTATATAGACACTTTCATGTTGGCAGGATGTCCCAATGCGCTGGACAGTCGAGCTGAAAGTGCAATTAAACAGATTGCCTTCAGGTAGACCTTGAAGGAAGAGAGGAAAGGGATGAGGTGAAGGGACTCCAGGATGGAGTTCCAGAGAGTGGGGACAGATGGTCTGAAAGCCTGTGCCATTGGTGGGATAAGGTAGGGCAGGGGACGTGAAGCAGGCCAGTACCTGCCGAGAGGAGTGAGCATGAGTAATGCAGGAGACGACCTGTACTGTATGGTGATTGTATTTTGTAGGCAAACATGGCAGCCAATTTGTGCACTGCAATAACCCACAAACATTCAAGAAGTGAATTACCAATTGGATTTTGAAGATTCTTGGCCAGGGGACAGGGAGAAACTCCCTTGTATTTTTGAATAATACCATGGGAGCTTTAACGTCCATGTGAACAGGCCCACACGACCTTGGTTTAACATCTCATTGAATGGCACCTCCAACAATGCAGCACACTTCAATATTGCACCGGAGTGTCAGTTTAGAGTCGAGACTATAGGAATTCAAAGTCCCAGTGTAGGGCTTGAACTTATATCCTTCAGGCTCAAAGGCAAGAATGCTACCAACTGAGCCAGGCAAGCATAAAAGCTGTGTGTCTCGGGAAGTAAAGCAATTTTCCAGTTTGGACAGCCAGGATCAAGTAATCACCAGACTCGCCTCGAAAGCGAAAGGACCTGGGTTTGATTCCTGGGAGGGTGAAATCTTAGGCAAGTGTTTTTACTTCACATGCCTCTGTTTATTTAGTAGTAAGTAGGAACTCGGTTGTTAGTTAATTGGCAGATCACTTTCTGGGGGTAATAATCCCTTCAAAGAAAATAATAATCATAAACACTCAATCCATGACGGTTTGTGGGACACTGCTGTGCGCAATTGGCTGCTGCATTTTGACTGCGTTTTCACCTCTCACTCTGACTGGTATCAGACTCTGGTTGTTCGTTGCAGATCACAAAGCTTATGCACAATTGTTCAACTCTCAGCTCTCTTTTAAATCTTTTCAATCGGTCCTTGACCTCCAAGAACTGTACAGACCCAGTCACCCACTTTGCACACCAGCTGCTTCATGTGACCCCACCTTATCCATCCAGCCATCATGTTATCCCCACTTACTGGGGCATCCCAGAGTCTCCCTAACTTGCTCCCTCCCTCCTTTCAGTCACTTTGCCCCTGCTCTCCATACCTCACTCCCAAAATCCTTTCCTGTTTGCCATCAAAACCCTTCTTAAAAACCTACCTCTTTAATCAGTCATTCACCTCCTGCTTTCTTTTCCTCTCCATCCTCCATCTCCTACCCTGCTCAAAAAACTACTCTGTCCCCATGAGATACTGTACCTCAAGCCATTATCCTACACAAAAGGTGTTATAAAAGTGTAAGTTGGTTTTAATACTAAAAATTAAAAACAAACACTGGTTTTAGCTAGTATAAATACAAAGGACATCTGCTTTTGACAGCCGTTTAATTGAAGTTGGCAATACTTCTATTTTTCCTGTGATTTGAGTAAAAATGCTGAAGGATATTCGTCACCCATGGGATTGAGTTTAGAAAAACATAACTACAAGCAAGGAAAGCAGGAACAAACAGAAGGATAAATCATAGAATTTGTGAAGACATTTATCAAAAGATTTATGTTGAAAGACATAAATGCAACTGAAAGTGCCAACACCATCAGAAATATGTACATTTGTCAACCAAGTTTGAGCTTCATCCGTGACAAGGTGCTTTGAAATAATTTTCATTATAAATTGAACGGCTGCATCAATTTCCAGGTCCATCCCAGGGTCCTGGTGTTTTGTGTACATGCTGCTTTGAAATACTAAACTTGTTTTATTAGGTTAAGAATACATTTCAATTAGGTTTATGGATGTACAGTAGACAATTGCGGGAGAGAACAACCTCAACTGTCAATGTGGATAATGGATCTTAAAATTAACAGCCCAGGGTTTTTATTGCAGTTATGTCACCACTAAGTAATGTTCATATGTCGAGTGTGCAATGTACAACCGTCTTCTATTCATTAACACCGGTGCTGGATTATGGAGGGGCAAGGACCACATTAAACTGCTATGAGATGCACCATCAGTGTATTAGAAATGTTTCAGAGCCACCCTGGAATTGACCTTAATATCATAATCTCAGAGATAATGATCCAGGGGCACGTTTACTGCCAGATTTCACACTAGCCAGCATTTTTTAAAAGACTATGTAACTTGTTCTTCTACAATGTGTCCCCTTTACTACTCAGCTGTCACAAGCAGAACCAGCAGTTTGGATCAGTGACAGATCCAGAAGATCACGCTATTAACTACAGTACAACTTTTATTTATTTGGTCAGCTGAGTGTATGACCCTATCATCATACTCACATCATCATGGAATATGCAAACCAAACTGAGAGGTCCATGCATCCCGCCTACATGTGGAAATTGCGATGTATTAGAATGGAATGCGCACTCTCTTCCTGGAGGGATGCATCTTATTTACCTAATTTTTGAGAGCATTAGGTGCAGGTTGGCAAGAGCCAAGTCTTGGGGATCTTTGTGTGTGCATTGGTGTACTTTTGGTACATTGTCATTAAGAGCAGTGCCTGGCAAGCTTTTCCATTGCTTGTCCAACTAAGATCATCCTACCTGTTAGGGCTTTGGCTTGCAGGCTGAATGGGAAGAATCGCTGCCCACAGTGACTGATCCGCCTTTCCAAGTCCCGGTTGGGCTGTCTTGTCATCATCAGTGCCCTGGAAGACCCAGGAACTGGGCTGCTATGACCACTACGTGATTCTGACATTCCTTTGCCAAACATATCACTTTGGAGCCAGTTCAGCTCGAAGGAGACCGTGCTTAGCTTTTATTTACACTAGAATCCTGATCACTGAGACTTGTATGGTATATATAGCTCACACCCTGTGCATGTAACTTGACTATGCATTTATATAAAGATGAGCATTTTTTATAAATGAAAAACAAAATCAGGAGTTGTGTTCTTACTTTACTCACAATCACCTGTGGCCTTTTAGGCTCCTGAGCAGGCAATTTGCAGTTTCCTTCACTAGCAGCTGTGCTCAGTTGGATAGTGACCTTTCAGCTTCAGCACAGTTATAGTTGGTATCAAATTGTCGATCAAAACAGTGATTTCAGATCTTGCTTCAGACCGATCAGGTGGAGCTGAATAAATCAGCTCCATGCTGTGATGAAACAGATTTCAGAAGTGTCCATGATGAGAAGCTAATGTGGTTCAATTGTTGATTAATACTTGAGGAATGAAACAAGAAACACATATTTGCTGAAGGCATCAATATTGCTGCATCGAAAATATAGTGGAGTCCAAAGTCCGTTTTAAACATTTGAATGTGATCGTACCTGACATTAGCCTGTGATGGCTTTTTTCCCCAGGTCACTGTTATTTCCGACTTTCTATTTTAGGAATGCCAGAAATATACCGTATATCTAAATTGTTTTTTTACTCTGCAATTTGTATGAAAAGTATGCAAAGGATGTGATATTAGCATGTAATATGTGTAATCCTGTAGCTTAGTAGTTAGAGCACTTGCCTCGCAAGCAAGAGGACCTCGGTTCAGTTCCCGGACAGGGCGAAACGTTGGACAAGTTTCCTTACTCCACACACCTCAGTTCACCTAGCAGCAAGTAGGAACCTGGTTGTTTTAGTCAATTGCCGGATCGCTTTTCCAGGGTAATAATGCTTTATAAAAAATAATAATAATTCGGTCACTCAATCCACGACTGTGGAACACTGCTCTCTGCAATTAATTGCCATATTTCACCCACACAATATACATTCAATTCAATTTGCAGTTTAGTCTGTGAAGCGCTTTGAGACATCTCAAAGGCATTATAATGAGTTGTATTAAATGCAAGGATTATTATTGTGTATCAATTTAAAACAAAAATGTTCTCTTGTGCATTTGCAGATCAGCGTTGAACTGAGTAGAAAATGCTGTTCTGCCTTGAGGGATAACTAATTCAAAGCTTTTAATATTCCCACCATCGTTGTGTCTCATTTTAGATAATAATTGATGACTGACTGGTCATTCAGTGGGTGTAAAGTACAAATTAGAAGTGCCAGGTTACTGGGTGAAATGTGGCTCTCCTTATTGAACAATTGCTTTGGCTTCTAGTGGTTAATGAGCAGTGAAGCAATGTGAAATTATTCATTTAGTTTGTTCTAAAACCTATTAAAAGTAAATCCTGACATCTGGTAATTCTGCCTAAGAATTATTTGAAAACATAAAAAAGAGTGATGACTGATAAGGTACAGGAGATTCAATGTTAACTGAAGGCCCATATTTACAATAAAACCAATTCAACCCACATGTTTGCTTATGGGTACCTTGCTGGTGATGTTGAGTGACGAGTTATTATTATAGAATACAGTGATCTTTTTAAAAGTTAATTACCCATCAGACCTACGCTAAAAGCAGCTCTTTGACAGATTGATGTTTACTGCGTTTCAGCTTGTCCTTTATTTGTGCTTGGCACTGCATAGTGCAACCGCTCTGTTAGTCTAAACGCAAAGAAAAATAAGCACCTTTTTCCTCAACTCATACTGGCACTTCTCCATGTGTAAGGAATACCTTATGTTCCAGTCGTTGAAG